TCTGGAATCCTGGAGGAAGCAGCCTAAGCAAGGGGCTGGGATGTAGGGGCCCAGTCTCCCCCATCTCAAGGGGGGGCTGAGGCATCCTAGGCCTGGTCCTGTAACTAGATTGCATCTGTGCTGTGCTGCATCCTTGGAGAAGCAATAAACTCCCTCAATTCTACTGCCTGGCAGAGGCTGTTCGTGCCACTATGGGGGTGCAGGAGTCGGGGGAACCCCGACGCGTCGTCACAAAACTAATCTCCTATTTTTTAAATTGACCAATGTAGCTGCTGCAGAGGAAATAGTGAACCCTTCCCCCCAAATGCACTTGGGTGATTGTACAATACTATCAGTATGGAGTGGACTTCCCTATCCATCAACTTAAGCTTTGACGTGAGGTTTGAATGCCCTTGTTAATGTTCCTCTAGCTACAGCTGTTGCACATACTGCTCTTAGTCATGGAAGCATCAGTTTCTTATTCTTGCTAAGCTGCTTCCCTGAATAGTATCCTGCAGCTATGAGTTCCCCAGATTGATTTTCAGTTGTGCAAGGCAGGCTGTGAGCTATAAACCAACTAGGTAGTGTTAACACTAGATGCTGCAGAGATGGTAAGGACACTCACGTTTAAACATATCATGGTTTCTCAGACAGCAGGGATCTGTGCTGGCCAAATTTTGCGATGCCACAAGATTATCCCAAACAGGGACGCGACACTGGGTTGGTTTCTGTTTTGGGGGGAGTAGAGTAGGGGAGGACACACTACTCAGGCAAATCATAGGCCAGGTCTACACTAGACCAGGAGGGTGGGGTTAAGGTATGCAACTCCAACAATATAAAATATGTAGCTGGAGTTGGCTTATCTTAAGACAAGCTTGGCACCATCTTCATAGTGGGAGGCCGATGGAACAAACACTCACATCAGCTTCCCTTACTCCTGGCAGCTGCGAGGAAGCACCCTCAGCATTCAATTTAACGAGTCTTTAACTAGACTTGCTAAATCAAATGCCAGAAGATCAATCTTCAGTACAGTAAGTATAGATATGGCCTTAATAAAAGTCCAAATCGCAATAGGAGTTGACACTATACATGTGTCAAACTTTTAGTCAACAGAAAAAAGCCTTTTTGATTAAAGTGAAATATTCCCAATAAATAAAATAAATTCAGAAGTAATTTTGGCCTAAATATTTTGGGTTTTGACAAAAAAAATTAAAGAATTTTTGTTAAAATAGTTTAAATGTCACGTTTTCCCCAAAATATGCTCCCCTTTTAACAAAGTGTAAACAAGGTTCTAACAGGCCATAATGTAGACAGAGGCTGCACGCCGCTCTGTGTGGAATAGATTACCGTGGCAGGAAATCCCGTTTGCACTGTTCTTTTGCCTGGGTTCCCCATGCTTTGATGGACTGTGGACTGTGTTCACACCACTGTGCAAGAGACATTAGGGAGAGCAAGGGATGAAAGCTCCGGTTTGCTGCTGATGCCTAAAGAATGTCTGTGGAAAAATTGATGGTCAGAAAGTTGATGAAAAACAGGCCTGGGAAACTGTGGCTTATAAGCCAAGAAGTTCTGCATAGCCCAGAGTTTGTCGTGCTTGCCAAATTTCTGTGGCATTCCTTAAAAACACGCAGCAGCAGGGCTCGCCTTTGGGAAAGCGGCACAGGGACTCATTTTGGGTAGATGTTCCGATTCTGAGGTATGCACTCCCTTAAAGAAAATCATAACCCCTCCCTGCTCTCCTTGGGCGACTGAGTGAGTGTGGGGTTAGAGAACCAAGAAATTGGGCCTGGCTTCTCATCCCAGCAATCCCACATCGACTCTGTGTGTGACGCTAGCCAGAGCACTTAAACCAGCCTTTTCAAAGGCAGTCTGTCATTTTGGATTACCCTCATCTCAGACCCATGATTCTCAACGTGGCCGACCAACCGCAATTCCAGCTGAAGTCAGATATTTGTTCCGGTTCTCTCCTTTTTCCTTTCACGGTCCCTTCAATTCCTCACCACTCCAAACCTGCCCCCTCCGGCTTTTCTCCTCGCTTCCCTTCTCTTTTTGCTGATGCTTTCTCCTCCCCTAATCCACCCAACCCCCCCCCCCGAAAAACGGTGGCCCTAACTGGGGGTGTTAAATAGCAGTTAATAAACGAATCGAGTAGTCGATGGAATTTCTTGATTAGTTGATAAGGGAGTTCGCTGCAGCTCTGCTTTTAAATGTAGGAAGAGCTGCCAGGCAGAGCTGCAGTGGTCTGGGACCCAGCATGAGCATGGACTGCTCAGTCCTGGCTCATACTGGATCCCCCGCTGTGCCTCTACCTCCCTCCCCTCTCTGGGGACGGTGCTGGAGGGAACCGGCTTTGAAGCTGCTCCCCCCAGCTCCTGCTGCCTGTCCCTTGCTGCCTCTGATGCAGAGGCAGCAGAAGGGGACAACGACTAGTTGCTTACATCCCTAGCCCTAACATGGTGTTGATTGCCCTCGGATTGCTGGCTTGGCTGGGGGGTTCCTGCCCTTTTCCAACGCTGGGTCTAACCGAGCTTTTTAGTTGCAAGCTTTAAAGAAGACGGTCAACCGCTCTGTGTTTGTACAGCCCCGGGCCAGGGTTCCCGTCTTGGCTGGCCTTTCGATATGGCCATAAAAACATGATTGATCTTTTTCTTTTTATAGCCAGGAAGTACAGCGTACGCTGCTTGGGCAGGGAAGAGCGACAAGGCAATAGTTCTTTGCTGGGCAATAGAATGAGGAGCTGGTCACGCCGGCACAGCGTGAGAGTAGGTTAGGGAATAGCTGCTGAGTCTCCTTTGTGGCAGTGCTGGGTAGGGGTGTGAATGGTTAACCAGGAAGTTTAATGCTTGACTGGTGAGGCGTACTGGTTCCGGTTGACTGGTGTTACTGGATGGGCCTTTAGTTAAATACATTTTCACATCCTTACTTTTTACATCCTTAGTGTGGTGCCTCCTAATTATTATAGTCCAGTGACCCTTTAATACCTGAGCTATTATGTGGCTGATGGAAGGCATTTCAGGGAAGATAGGTTTGTGGTTAAAGCACAAGACTGACCAACGAGAGATCTGGTCCCACAGCTGGCTCTGCTACAGACTCTGTGCTACCTGGAGCCGGTTTGTCAGTCTTTATGCTCAGTTTCTCTGTCTCTCTCTGAAGAGCATGCATCACAGGGCTGTGAAGGCTAATATAATGAGGGTCAAGCGTTTGAGGGCCTTAGAGGGCAAGTGTCCAAGATGTGCAGAGCGTTGCTGTTTTTATTCTCCTTTCAGGAGGAGTCTGATATTTGTGCGCTGTTGACATGGAAAATCAACGGCTGCTCCCCCCCTTCATGTGTCCAGCAGCCCGTGATCGAGTGGTTACTCTGTACAGGGTGTGTTGTACAATCCCCCATTCCCCTTCACACTGAGGTACAATTTTCAAAAGTTCCTCAGTTGTCACTTAGGAATGTGAGTCCCATCTTCTAAAGGGATTTAGGCACGGAGGAGCCTAAATCCCATTGACTTTTGAGAAGACTTAAGATTGTAAATGACTTAAGAGCTTTTGAAAAATTTGTCTTTCATCTTTAAAACCTGTGCCATTCGCAGCCACATGAAGAGAGATTAAAAAGACGGGGACTTTTCAGCTTAGAAAAGAGGAGTCTAAGGGGGCATGTGATAAAAGTCTATAAAATCATGACTGGTTAGGAGAATGTGAACGAGGAAAAGTTATTTACAGCCAGTCCCCGAGTTGCGAACAGCCGAGTTCCAACAGCCCTTGGAGTGGTCGTAAAGGCGGTCCCCGAGTTATGAACGCGACCTGCGCTTACGAATGGCGCAGTTGCTATGTAACTCAATGGGGTCCGAGTTACGAACAGATCGAGTTACGGCCAAGTGTTTGGTCCGTAACTCGTTTGTAACTCGGGGAGAGGCTGTACTTGTTCCCATAACGTAAAAAATAGAGGCCACCAAATGAAATTAATAGGCAGCAGGTTTTTTTAAAAGGAAGTATTTCTTCACACAACGTAGGGTACGTCTAGACTACATGCCTCTGATCAGCTGTTTGTCGGCTCAGCGCAATAGTCTGGACGCACCGGTGTCGACATCAAAGGTATTTGTCGACCACCCAGGTAAACCTCATCCCAGGAGGCAGTCTGATCAGCTGTTTGTCGGCTCAGCATGGCAGCCATGTAAATTTAAATGAAGCGGCGATTATTTAAATCGCTGCTTCATTTTACTATGTCTGGTAGCCTAATCTACATGCCTCTGGCGACAGAGGCATGTAGTCTAGACGTACCCATACAGCCAACCTGTGGAACTCCTTGCCAGAGGATGTTGTGAAGATCGGGACTTTAACAGGGTTCCAAAAAGAGCTAGATAAATTCATGGAGGATAGGTCCATCAATGGCTATTAGCTAGGATGGGCAGAGAGGGTGTCCCTAGCCTCTGTTGGTTAGAAGCTGGGAATGGACAACAGAGGTGGGATCACTTGATGGTTCCCTGTTCTCTTCATTCCCTCTGGGGCACCTGGCATTGGTCACTGTGGGCAGACAGGACGCTGGGCTGGATGGGCCTTTGGTCTGGCCTAGTCTGGCCCTTCTGATGCTCTGTTGTGGCTCTCCTGCTTGTCTCTGCGTGGGAACAGCCTGTGGTTTGCGTGCTGGGAATGGACAACAGAGGTGGGATCACTTGATGGTTCCCTGTTCTCTTCATTCCCTCTGGGGCACCTGGCATTGGTCACTGTGGGCAGACAGGACGCTGGGCTGGATGGGCCTTTGGTCTGGCCTAGTCTGGCCCTTCTGATGCTCTGTTGTGGCTCTCCTGCTTGTCTCTGCGTGGGAACAGCCTGTGGTTTGCGTCACGCGTTTGCTCCTGGTGCTCTCACAAAACGACTGGGGTGGGTGG